AAAGCCCCATATCCTAACATCATCCTTTTGAGAGTTAGGATTCCATCATGTGAAGTTGGCAGGTGGGAGACACACATGCAGTCCTTAACACACAGTGGGGATAAAACCCAGAGGTTTCAGTGGGTAGAGTGTTAGGAGGACTCTACCCACTGAAGTTAGTGGCTTCTTGGGACAGGAGTAGTGTCCAATTAAAGAGTGGGGAACAAACAGAAACTGGAGCAAAAAGAAGGAAGGAAGGAAGGTAGGAAAGAAAGGAGACATGCACACAATGCAGAGAACAGGGGGTTAAATCTGAATGAAAACCTACGAAGCCAGCACAGCTAACATGCACAGGACAGTGATGGTCTGTTGACCCACGACTTCATGTCATTGCTCAGGTCCTTTGGTTACTTTTTCTTTTTCTTTTTTTTTTTTAGTTTTGGTAGACCTTTATTTTTAAAAATTTATTTATATGTGGTGCTGAGAATCGAATCAAGTGCACTACCGCTGAGCTCCAGCCCCAGCCCTAGTCACTTTTTCTTAATTAGCAATCTTTTCCTTTTGCAAGCTTTCCTGCTTGAGAAAAGCCAGGACCAAAGGCTTTATATTTTCACCCTTTATGTTGAAATCAGAGCTTCTGAGAAATGATGGCCTGTGGCCTCTTTCCCCTTCTCTGTTTACCCTCAACTGGGTAGAAATAAATGATGGTGTCCCAGAGCAGAGTCAGAGAAGCAAGTTCTATAATCACATGCTTCCTTTGCCGTTGAAGATAAAGGTGAAGAACATTTCCTCTGTGCCCCGTCCTTACCCACCTCTACTGGGGCCATGACTAAGATACTGCTTTCAAGCTCCAGAGCTGAGGACATCCATCTACTCACCTATGCTCTCTTTACAAAAGTGATCTGAGGCAAACAGGTGTGACTCCCAAGGCTGAGCACCTTCAGTTGTATGCAAGTCACGTGTGCCCAGGAATAAATGAAAACGGCTTTGCATTTGGACGGGAATGTCTGTGCCCCATATCTTATATTATTTGTCAATCTATAACTAGGATGCAGTCTTTACTTAGCTAATAAGTACTTGTCTTTTCATGGAGTACAGTGAGCATACTCCCTCCTCATGAATTTGGTGTTTTTACTGCCACAGATGTCTTTGATGGTGTTCTACAGCTTTAACTCATCTGGGTGCATGCAATGAATTATGATTTTATTCCAAAGTTGTTTCTCATTCCCTGGCTGTCTGTTGGATCCTCCCAGGATTCATCTGCTTCTTACCGTGCTTGGAAGGTCTCTAGTATATTTGCCCCTCTCTCTATAAACAATTTAATGTCTCTCCTTTCCATTCTGAAGAATAGAGGGTTAATGATTTCTTCTGGGGAGATTCAGATTTAATTTTAATCCTCATTAAACACACGTGTGCATGTGCACACCCGTACACACAATGTTTTACATACGCTTTGAGGGGATCTTGACTGGGGCTTGTGCATTCCTCCAAACTTATCCAGGGACTCCCACTTAAGATGCCTTAATATAAATATAAGCACCTTTATTTATTTCCAGTACTATGTCGGATAGCTGTATCTATGTTTTGCTCCAAGCCACTCTCCCAAAGCCTTTATAATCTTTGTCGCTGTGAGTCTGTTGTCACTTGTTCTCTGGATGGTGCCATCTGCAGGGTGAGGTGCTATAGGAGGAACAGGTGGCCGGGAATAGGAGGCAGTTTGCCAGGGCTCACAGTGATCACCTCTGATGTTTCGAATTTGCCAGGGTTTCCTGATGTGTTTTCAAACACAGAGGACTGGACTGAAGCTGGGGTAGCATTGTGCAGCTACGTGGCACTGATCTGCCTTCAGGAGAGAGTGGGTGGCGGGGAGTGCTTTCAGCTGACTGCTTCCAGCCACAGGGCTTCAGATCCACCAGAGTGTTCAAGAGCAAACCACCCTCCCCAGAGAGTTTCAGCCCCTGGCCAAGCCTGGCAGGGTGCTAGGCCTGGTTATTTCTGCCAATGTGGGAGTTCTCTCTGGGTAGTCTCTGCACACTGTTTCCCAGCTGAGGAGCTGCCCCTCAATCTGGAGGCTCCTCCTGCTGCTTTTTCATAGGAGTTAGATCTGTGTAGGGATCTGAAAGTATTTCCCTTGCCTGCTCCTGCTTCTTTTTGTTTTTATCCCTTATCTTCCCAGGTGATCTCCCCTGAGCCCACCCCACCCCAGCTAATCTCTTGCTCTTCCACTTCTGCCTTTGTGTCTGCTTCTTGGATTACCTGAACTGACTCAGCTCTGTTCCCAGGTGACATTGTTGATCACAAGTCATAATCCCACTTCACTTCCCAGACATCAGCCTGGAGCAAAGTTCCCAGAACTTGCCAACCCATTTCGTCACAGAATCTGGAGTTTACTGGATGTTAGTTCCACCTTTGTAGCTATGCAGGTTATTATCAGCATCATCCTGTTCAGCCTCTTGTAGGGTGTTTCTGTTGCTTAGAGAAGAGACAAAGGCACGAGATGATCAAAAACATACTTTATTTTTTTATAGAGACTCTTTCCAGGATCCCAGGCTGGAAAACATGGAAACCTCAGGAATGACCCCTCTCCATTTATACACTTCTCCCCTAAAATCAGGCCAATGAGGTCAGCTCCTGAATCCCTTTTCCTGGGATCCCACTCAGTCCTATCTCTTAGCATTCTGGCGAGGGTTCAGGAGCATAAAGATTCTTGTTATCTAGTTCCTCCCCAAAAGGTCCCCCTCCCCACCACCAATTACTGTGAGTATATAATATACATCAGAGCTCCTCCCTGAGAAAGAATGATGACAGGGAGGAGATTGGCACAATACAGATAACACATCCACAGCAACTGGTTTCCACATTTTGGAAGTCACAAAGACGGACCTGTGATGTCTCCTATTCTATTACTACTGGACAGATACATCAAGCAAACATACTTAGGAGGTAAACATTTGGAGATAAACACAGGGTGACATGTGTCTATAATAAGAACGAGACCCATGCACAGTGCAAATCATGATGTTCCTCACACACGGGAACTGACAACATTTTTATAAGCTAAATGGATGTTGGAGAATGAGTTGATGGAAGGCTTGCTGGCTCTTTGAGGGAATGTTTAACCTTACTGAAAGCTGCCCAAGTCTGTCTCACACTTCCTTTTATGCACAGTGATAACTCCATTCAATCACATCCCTTTAGATCCCCTGGATGGACTAGTGGTTCTCTTTGCAGTGATCTCAGGGAACTCTCATTGCAAAGGCTCTCTGAAGGCCACAGCCTTTGGCTCAGTTACCCATGGTAAGAATGGTTTTTAAAAATCCTGTGAAGAGTCTGCTTCCCAGATACCTCCATAAGCAGCCTGGACTCACTAGGACAGCTGAGCCAGGAATGGCAAGTCTGGGATAAGTCCCCTTAAGTGTGGAAGGAGCTGCATGTCCCCAGCTCAAGGCAAAATCCAGAGCAAGTGCTCAACAAATCATTGTTGAATTCAACTCCAACCTTCTCTCCTGTAGATGGGATGACCCCAACTCCTTGATACTTTTTTCTTAGGTACTTCTCATAATCATGTTCATCCTTTTCATCCACACAGGGCATGATTTTCCATTGGAAGCATGACTAGCTGCCTTTTGTTGCTCCTAAATCTTGCTTTCCGTTCATGGATCTGCATTGAGTTGGCTTTACTTAGTTTATTTAAATCTTCCCATGCTGCTTTGCAGAATATGTTCTCAGGTTTCTGGCTTCTGCTACTGATATACAACTAATTCTCCCCAGGCATGTCCATACCCTTGTAGAGTTAGAGCCAGCAGGGGTGGTGGAGGCTGTAAAACCTGTGGGTGGTATTATTCTCCTCTTCACATCATGAATGCAGCCAATGCACATCCATTATTCAAACCACAAGGGCATTCATGAATATTACATGAAGTTTCTGCTTCCAGACACATCTGGGCAGGATACAGAAATGCTCACCTGCTGGAGACCCCAAAGCTGCATTAGAACATGAAGCATTCACCTCATGGCTCTTGTCCTTTAGGGTTGGTGGGTAATTCTATCTCTTATAGAGAGGAGACTAGCAAAGCTATGGGGGAGAAGGGAACATTCAGACAATGAAGAGAATGCAAGGTGCCCTCTTCCAGAAGCACAGTTGCAGGTGCAGCCTCCCTGCTCAATAGGCATCTGAGCCTGCACCTTATGCTAGCATAAAGTCACAAATTTGGGTTTGTGCCTCTGCCTCAGATACCAAAAGGCTAGACACAAAGCCCACTTGTTGTGTTGTTCTGAGCTGTGGAATTCAACCCGCTAAAGCATGCTGGAAAGATACCGGCTTTGGCATGGACTCTTTTGCTCTGTCAAAGGCCAAAAACTTCCAGAATGAATGTACTCAGGGTTTTAGGATACCTGGAGAATGTCTGAGATGGATATTTACATGTTTTAGCAGTTGCTGCCTCTCTAGGAGCTGGGTATTAGTGCTTCTACTCTTTTTGAGATTACTATTTTTTTTTTTTTTGGTAAAATATACCAAACACTTATACAATCATTGAACCATGGCACATTAAGATTCAAAGTGACACTTAGATTATTTAGTTCAGCCCCATTGCTTTGCCAGTAAAGAAAGAGGCTCAGATAGATTAAGTCTGGCTGGGGTCTCTTGACCCTTGGTTGATATAGACCTTAGATGGCATCAGCTGACATATTCCGCCCACCATGGAAGCTCAGGATGGTCACCGGGGACACAGTGCAGAAGAAACTGAGGCTTTCAATCCTGTGACGTTCAAATGAACTTAAACATTGAGATGCCAATAGGGGCAGGCATAGGTCTTCTTTTCATGGGTGCTGAGAAGATGAGGTTAGATCTTTCATTATGTGGCGCCTTCTTTTGCTCATGCTGTGAAGTGAAGGCTAGAGTGATGTGAGCCACGAGCTGAGGGAGGCTAATCAGAGCTTGGCTGAGGACAACTTTGCTGGAGCAAGACAGAGGCGCCAGGCAAACAGTCCTGTTGGATCTGTTATTGCACTGCAGAATTCATCCTGAAATGAGCACCCACATGCAGTTGAAGTTATCTCTAGAATCATGGAATAAACTGGAAGGTAAAATCTAGTGCAATATTTTCATTTTACAGGCTCAGAGAAATTCAGATTTGCTTTGGGTCACACAGATGGGGGATGGCAAAGATGGAAGAATCCAGATTGACTTTAGGATGAAATGTCTTCCCTAAACCATCTGATTCTTCCCCCAAAGCTCTGATGTTCAGGTGTTTCTGATGGTTTCCAGATCAAGGAAATACCCATGCATGAGAGAGGCAGAACAAGGATGGTGGTGGCTGCCTTGCTAAGGGCCTGCCCTCTAGGACAGCATATTGGAGTAGAAGCTGAAGCTCTCTGTCATGGTCTTGGAGTTGCTGCGAGAGGAGCCATTGGAGTTCAGATCCAGGGATGAAGGTGTGGCCTTGGGGCCTTCCTCTGGCTCCTCCTCATGGACTCCTACCACTGTGGAGACAGTGGTCTCCAAGCGGCTGACCTTATACACGCTGCCCTGGGTCTGGAGGTACCGGGTAGATTTCATTTCCAGCCCCTCATAGTCGCCAGCCCTGATGAAGGGGCAGCACCGGAAGGCGTGCTTGAAGCCCAGACGGAACCTGGAAGGATAGCACATAAGGAGGTGACCCCATGGGGACAGACTGCTTTTCAAGGGGCTTCCCACCATTTCATCAGCTTCTCAACACAGGACACTCCCAAGTGTGACTGTATCTGATTATTTTGCAAGTTAATGAACATCTGGAGAGGCTGAGGCCAAAAAGATTTCAGGGTCAGCTAATAATGTTAAATCTAGGACGAGCACCCATGTTCATGTGCAATGTACGTCTTTATCCAGGGTGGTCCTTGAGCTATGTATGCTCCCTCTTCTGGTGTGGGGTCAGAAGACTTTGGGCCAATCCAACATCAACCTAAAACTCACCAAGTATTTACGGTGTGCACCATAGTAAGCTTACATCAAAGCACAATGCAAGACTCAGTCCTTTCCCTCTAGTAGGCCACTGACTGCCAGAGTCATGATCCTTGGTCATGTCTCTTCGGTATGCCTCAGTTCCTCTGTTTGCTAAACAGAGAGAATCCACCTTTATTTAATAATATGCAGGGAGATTTACTCTAAAAAATTTAGGCAGGTCATCAAGCTCTTAGAGAAAGGATGTTTCTGTGAGTTAGACTAACAGAGAACCATTTGGGCAAGTTTAAGAGAATGTCTTTCCTGCTCTCTGCGACCTGAGTGTCTCACTCAGAGAAGGCTTTTCCCAGGCTGGTGACTGATGGGTAGAAGGCATTTTGTTCCTTCTCTTCCTGTCTGCTCCCTTCCCTACACAGAGGCTGGGGTGGTGCCCTGTCTAGCATCCTGACCCCTCTGGGAAGCCCTCTACAGGCCACAGTGCATTTCCTATTGCTGAGTGCCATTCCTGATGGGCTCTCCCTTCTCTTGCTTGTCTGAGGTTGGTTTATGCTGTGAGGATGGCTCCCCCAGGCCTTGTCTGATCAAGTGAGGGCAGGAATCAGGTCTCTGAGGCCCTGACTTCTTTTTGCTTACCCTACCTGCTGGAAATGATGGATGAAACCAGGGAAAGCTGCCCGGGCTGTAAACCGGGAGAGGATCCAGCTTACAGGCTTTGTTCACTTACACCAGTCACAAAGGTTTCTAATCCTATGTTGCCCCTCTTCCCCAGCTCAGTTACCAGTATTTAAAAATCAGAAAATCTCACACACAAATATAGATTTCTGGTTTCTCTTGAAAAAGAAAAGACAACCAGGCTATGCTGAGCTCACAGTCCTCTGCACGGCCTGTGAGCAGGGGCTGTACAGTGTGGTGGTTAGTTTGCTGCAGTCCATACCTCTCCCTCTTGTCTCTCCCTCTGTGCTCATGTAGCTGCTTGGTGGCTGGTGGCCCCTGGAGAGTGTGGGGAATGGGGTACTCACCTGTCATTGAGGCAGCAGTAGATAATGGGGTTGTACATGGTGGAGCTCATGGCCAGCCACATGATGGCCAGGTAGACCTGCTGGATGAACTTCTTCAGGTAGAGATCTGGGTTGATGTAGGGCAGCAGGAAGAAGATGTGGAAGGGCAGCCAGCAGATGGCGAAGGTACACACCACCACGATCATCATTTTGACCACCTGGTAAGAGGACCAGCAGGTGAGATGACATCCTCCTTCTCTCATGGCTGCTTTCCCTCTCCTCTCTCTCCTCACCACACATGGTGTGATATGGGGTGGGGGGGTATTTAGAACATTGCTTTACAAGGAGGAGAAAGGATCTTTAATGTCCAGCCCTAAGGGACGTTGGTTATGTGGGCAGTTCTCAGAGTATGGCCCCAGGACTGTCATTATCACCTTGATTGGGAACTTGTTAGACATACAAATCCCTGGTCCCACTTCAGACTTAGTGAACTGGAAACTCCCAGGCTGGGACCTGGAATTCCATGCTTGATAAATCCTTCAAATGATCCTGATGTACTCTTGCATTTGGGGACAACTGTGTTATGTGACTCTTCTGGGCAATGGCTGAAGCCAAGGGAGGTCAATTAACAAGCAAAGGTGAAGGGGTGTGCTGGAGAGAAGGCCAGGGAGGGAGTAGCAAAAGGTGGGCAAAGAGAGGAGCCATGGGCTCGGGCAGCTGCTGAGTCTGGAGACTGCAGGAGAGGGAGGGGAAGGGCAGCCAGGGTGCATCCGATGTTTAAAGGGATTTAAAATAAGGTCTTCTGAATTTTGTGTGCTGTGGTGTAAATGTTTGTGTCACCCCCAAATTCATGTGTTGAAATCCTAAGCCTCTAGGTGATGTAGTAGTAGGAGGGCCTTTGGAAGGTGATCAGACCTGAAGGACAGAGCCTTATGAATGAGAATCCTGAGAAACCCCCACCCCTCCGCCATGTGAGGACACCAGGTGAGGCACCTTCCACCAACCAGGAGCTGCCCTCATCAGACACCCCAGTGCTTTGCTAGTGGACTTCACAGCCTGTAGAGCTGTGGTAATCCATTTCTGTTGTTTGTAAGTTTGCAGTCAAAAGTATTTTGTTATAGTGTCTCAAATGCACTAAGAATCTGGATGATATAAACTTCTTTTTATTCCCAAGAAATCTTCAGTGAAGAACACTACAGCATCCATAATGAAATACCATGCAAAGAAGAACTGAAGGGAGAGAACAGAAAGAGGAAGTTCTTCATATACTGATTTTCAGATTCTTGTGAATTTTAAGTGAAAAATGTGACCACAGTATGTATTTACTATTGTCATAAAAAAGAGAAAGTAGTATATCTTAATTTTATTTATAAATGCCAATATCTAGGAGGGTTAACAAGAAACAAACAATAGTGGTTACTATTGTGTGTATGTATGTTTATATGTATATGAATGGGTATATGTGTGTATATGTGTATGAGTGTGTATGAGTACATGTGAGTGTATGGATGAGTGTGTGTATGAGTCTATGAGTATGTATGTGTGTGTATGAGGGTGAGTATGAGTCTATGAGTGTGTGAGTGTGTATGAGTGTGTGTTTGAGTGTGTATGAGTGTATATGTACATATGAAGAAAGGTGGCTCTCTTCCTCCCCTGGTCTGTTACCCAGACCCATGGCTATCTTATGCCTGCTGCCTCTGGGTGGCTCTGCTCACCAGCCTGTAGCCTGTGCCAGGATCGGTTAGGAGCTGTCTGCTCCTCACTCACCTTGCGCTTGGCAGAGACTTGCTCATGGTACCGGTCAGAGGAGTCCCCAGGGATCTCACTGGCCCACAGTGTGATCCCCACTACGGTGTATGCATAACCGATTACCAGCAGGGGGAGGAAGTAGATGAGCACAGTCACGCAGATGTGGTACCTGCAGTAAGATGGAGGACAGAGGTCAGCCGGAGAAATAATTGGTGGTTAAGGCTCTGCAGCCACCTTTTCTAACCTTCGATATCAGTATGGCTGAGCTATCAGGCACACCGCGGAGAGGCAGGCACCTCAGAGTGAATGGGTATAAACCAGAGAAAAAAATCTCTTTGATTTATGCTTTTCTTGTGAACTTTTTCTATAATGGAGATTCTTGTTCAGATTCAAAAGGGGAAAAAATGTTGATAAGAAGGAACTGAATTCATATATACTTAGGACAGTTTTGGTCCATGCTAAGTTCAATATTACTTGCCCCACCCCACCTCCCAAGAAATATAAGAATGCAAACTTATGCTTCATGAATAGAAGTTTATTATCTAGAATAAAGGAGGTAATCGTACCACTCAATTCATATCTGTTAGACTACACTTATGCTCAATTTTACTTGGGATTTAGACCAACTATTATATTTAAATGAGATCTACCATAATGGTTCATGAGCTTCAATTTATTCTATGAGATATATGGATTCACAAATATCAGTATAATTAATTAGCTTGGGGGAGAGGATAAGACTAGTTCTAGTTCTAGAACTTGGATCCGGGAGGGAAAGCCACAAAGTGTAAGCCATTTCTAAGCCTGGCCTTCATGAATATATGTGCACAGGGAAGCTGGCTGGGTCTTTGAGTCACCACTTGGACGGCAAATATCAACTGACTCACATTTGATTGGGACCCAAGCAAGAAAAACAACAACAACAACAACAAAAACTCCAAACAAGTAAAAAAAAGCCCCCAAACCTTTCCAATGTTAAATTGCTGAGGTTGTGAGGTTTGTTATGGCAGCATAACTTAGCCTATTTTGTTTAAGGCAAGATTTCTTCTAAGTAGGAAACTCAGACAAGTTTTCTGAATGTTGAGGAAGAACATTTTTCTGAGGGGGTTCATTGGCTTGTGTATCTGGCTACAGCCTGTTCCCAGACGTGAGTGTAATCATGAGGCAGTAGTAGTGGTATTACTAATGAAAACAGCTAATGTCTTGGGAGACTCGCTCTAGGTCTCTGCTTTGGTTTGGATGTGGCTTGTTCTTCAAAACTTGTCATTCTTTGAGCTTGGCCCTTGGTGTGGTGGTTTTATATTGAGATGCTAGAAACTTTAGGCAGCGGAGCTTAGAGATTTTTTGGCCATGAGTGCTCTACCTTAAAAAATTAATTGATGCTATCTGAGACTAGGGCAGGTCTCCTGGGACTGGATTAGTTCCCTTGAGAAGGGTTGATAGAGGTCAGCCCAGTACCTGTCCCTAGTCTCTCTTCTATGCATGTTGCTTGCCACTCTCACATGCACCTCTGTCATTGTGATGGCATCTGCCATGAGGGCCTTGCCAAAGTTGACCAGATGCTGGTGCTGTGCCCTTGATCTTCCAGAGATATGAGCTAAATAGTGCTCTTTTTCTATAATGTATGCAGCGCTGGCATTTTGTTATAGCAACATAAAACAGACTAATACTGTCACTGTGCTAATAATAAACTTAATGACAGCATTAGTAGCAGAAGTGGTCGCTAGAGTTTGAATGTTCATAAATGGCACAATGCTAAGCATTTTATTTTCATTCTATTATTTAATCCTTAAAGCCATCAATTGGGTAGGTACTATCATAATTCCATTTTTTAGATGAAGAACAACATTTAGAATTTAATTAGTTTGTCCAAATTCACTACTGGTAATGGGATTGGCTGGGATCAGGATGCAGGTCTAAGACCCAAGAACCAGTTTCTTGTCACTGAGGAAAAGTTATCCGCAAATTCTTTTCTTCCATTCTAGTTACAGTCTATGTTAATTCTCTGCAATGATTTTCTTCCATAGGGAAAAATCCACTTATTCACTCAATTTCTCCCTCTTCCATACTACATTTGCTTTCATCGGTTCTTTGTAAGGCTCACAGTTTTGCCACTTATTTAGTCCCCTGTGAATATTAAAATCTGCAGTTTGAAGATACTTGAGGAGTTCTTAAGTAATAAGTCATTGATTCAGAAAAGCAGAGTGTGAGCTCATCTGCTCTGTGCAGACACCTGCTTCCACCCCAGTAGGCTCTTGAGGTCCCCTGGGTTTTTACCTCCACCAGAACCACTGGGTTCTCCAGTTACCACTTCAGTGATTGCATATGGTATTTCCCACCTGATCTCAGTCACTCCTTCAGGATACAGTGCTGACTGTGCTTGTGAGCACAGCCTTGAGAGAGACTGTAGGGTCAGGGAGAATCTGAGAACCTCCTAGATGTCCTCAAGATACCTCCCTATAAGAATGGCCCCATGTCATGCAGACTTGATACTTGGTCTGTGGCAAAACACGCTAGCTGAGCTTCACCAGGCCACTGCCTTTAAGGTTTGAGTGTGATGAGCAATGTCAGCTCAGGAGTGTGAAGGGAGGACATTGTAGTCAAGTTGGTGCTCCTCTCCCTTAACCACAGGTCCTTACTATCAGGCAGGTCCCAGAACCTCCTGGAAGTTACTGTGGGGTGACTCAGCTACCGTGGGGTGGGCCTGAGAATCTTCATTTATAATACGTTCCCAGGACACAATGCTGCTGCTGTTTCTGGTTCAGACTCTGAAAAAGATTGTCCTGGACCAGTGTTTCTCAACCAAAAATGCACATGAAAACCACCAGAGGAGATTTTAAAATGATCAGTGCCCAAAGGAGCCGGTTAAAAAATTCCTAAGTTATTTTAACAGATGGTTAGCATGGAGAACCACTGTTTCAGACCCTGGATCTGCAACACCAATGAGTCTTTTTTTGGAACCTCCTTGTTGTTTGTGATTGAATGAGTTCATTAAGGTGTTCATTAGAAACATTCATTTTGTGATGTATCTGATGCTTTGCACTGGGGGCCTTGCTGATCAGGCAGGGACTGCCCGCTCCCAGGTCTAGCTAATTCCTAGAGATAACAAATGACTCTCTTGGGAATGTGCATTCCATATGCAAAATAATAATCTAAACCTTAAGCTTTATTGGGCTCTTACCTTGCAGAAAACTATTTGCCTGCCCTGATCATCCTGAAGCCAGATATCAGACAAGTAGGGTAGCTCCTCTATCCCAGAGCTGCTAAAATTATTCAAGCTGGTCAGTCTTAAACCTGCTCACTCTGCCTCACTAGTTCTTTCCTGAGAAGGCCCATGAAGTCTTTCTTTTTGGTATGGGACTGTGCCCCTTCATCTTGGGTACTGCGAGTTATAAAGTATCTTCTTTTTTTGTGTGTGTGGTGCTGGGGATTGAACCCAGGGCCTTATGCATGCAAGGCAAGCACTCTACCAACTGAGCTGTATCCCAGCCCATAAAGTATCTTCTTTTTTTTTTTCTTAAAGATTTTTTTTTTAGTTGTCGATGGACTTTTATTTTATTTATTTATATATGGTGCTGAGAATCGAACCCAGTGCCTCACGCATGCCAGGTAAGTGCACTACCACTGAGCTACAACCACAGCCCCATAGAGTATCTTCTTAATGGCAATTGCATCCTGATATGTTGACCTCACCATACTTAAATACAAAATAAAATCTGCATTTTAAAACTATGAACACTGTGAGAACTCATAAATCAGACCACAGGAAAATGCTAAGATGAATCAGTAAATATAACTTATCAACCTTTTAAATATAACTTATCTTCCTTTTTCAAAGAAAGAAAAGTCATTTTGTTATTTGGAATCAACAAAATATATGGATTCAATTTCAGCTAAAAAGTGTTCTATTCAGGTAGAGCAAGGCTTTCCCATCTCTAGTAGAGATAATTCAGAAGAGCATAAGAATAGTATACAGCAATTCTAGTTCTAGGTATAGACAAAAAAGAAAAGAAAGTCTTGACTCCAACAAATTCATGCAAACCATTACTTACAATAGCTAAAAGGTGGAAACAGTCCAAATGTCCACCAGTAGATGAATAATAAGCTAAATGTGGTATATCCATACAATAGACTACTATTCAGCTTTATAAAAGAATGGAATTATTGCCTGTAATCCCAGCAACTTGGGAGGCTGAGGTAGGAAGATTGCAAGTTCAAAGCCAGTCTCAGCAATTTAGGGAGGCTCTAAGCAATTTAGGGAGATTCTGTCTCTAAATAAAATCTAAAAAGGGTTGGGGATGTGGCTCAGTAGCTAAGCACCCCTGGGTTCAATCTCTGTACAATGCTCCCCCTTGCCCCTGGCCCCGGCCAATACATAAAAGAATAGAATTCTGACATATAGATAAATCTTGCAAACATCATGCTAAGTGAGTAGGCCAGACACAATCCGACAAATACTGTGGGAGTCCACTTATATGAAATATGTCATGGAGATAGAAAGTAGATTAGAGGCTACCAGGGGCTGGGGAGAGTAGATAGGAGATACTATGTAATGGGTATAGATTTTCTGTTTGGGATGATGAAAAAGTTCCGGAAATGGTTAGTGGCGATCATTGTACAACATTGTGAGAGTCCTTATGATTCTGAATTGTATGTTTTAACGTGGTTAAAGGGGTAGAGTTTATATTCTGTATTTTTATCACAATTAAAAAATTTCATAAAAATATTTCAGCCTACCCAGGATCCCAGGTCTCCAAATTTGCAGGCTTTTCTACCCTTGGCTACTCCTCAACACAGCCCCTCACTCTGAAAAGGCAGACTTAATTCTTGGATGAGATTAAAATTTGAACACATGCTTCTAAATCTTTAAAAAAAACACATTAGTTTTTATTTTTTAACTTTAAAATTAAAAAAAGTTTATTGGTGCATTATAATCATACATAATAGCAGGATTTGTTACATATATTTGTGCAGGTACATCCTCCTAAATCTTGCTCAGAAAAACCCCTATTACTTAGAAATTGCAAACACTCAATCCAGTGTTCAAATGATCAAAAATTCTAAATGAATGTAAGTCAAATGCATGAAGTTCTATCATTAGAAAAAAGGAAATAAATATATTTCTTTTACCTTCATACCCTTCTGGAAGAATTTTACCATATTCTGTAT